TCGCCCCACCTCTTCAGGAGTGGCCTCACCCACCCGGCTCAGACAGGGTCCTCCGCCCAGGAGACACGCCTCCCCCACTCCGGCCTACCCCAGAGTCAGGGACGCCAAATTCAGCCATCGGGGAGCCTGGCTGTGCGGGCGCCCGCCCACGCCCTGCCCTTCTGTGCGGTACTCATGCTGCACACCCTTGCTTGTTGGCTACTGAAATGTGAATCCAGGGGCACTGTCTATGCCGAAGCACTAACGGCACAGCCAGTGCACAGGACCGCAGGGCATCTGGGCTGGGAAGGCTGCACAGGTCCTTGCTCTTCTCCACAAGAGCACACTGGGGCCCAGGCAAAGACTGGGCTGCCTCTCCTGTCCCAGACTGCTTTGTGAAGGGAGGGAAGCGGATGGGCCCATATCTCTGCCCTTCCCTGACACACCATGTGACACTGGGCCTCGGTTTCCCCATCTGGACTCCAGGTTTCTTACATGTGGTGGTCGTGAGGCTGCACTAACAGGAGTCCAGATGGGCTTCAGAGGGGCAGAACTCGCTGGTGGGGTGCAGTGGGAGGTGAGGGAGCACAAAGGGGCGGGTGGGGGGCTGTTGGGGACAGGGACAAGAGAAAGGAGGTTGGTTATAGAGCCTGAGTGGCTCCAACCCCACCCTTTCCCCTCCCAGGCTATTTTTGGCCCTGCAAAAGTAGCCTGGCCTATCTGGCTTCACAGCAGCATGAGGGGTCTTGGTCTCTACCCTGCAGGGCTCTGGTGAGGGTGGTGGGGCATTGGAGGTGCACCTGCTGCCCTCCAAGCAGAGCTCCTGTGACTGCCAGGTCCTGGCCATCCTCACCCCTGCCAAACAGCACAGGAGCCTCTTTCCTGTCCCCGCAACTCACCCCATCTGTCCACCCACAGCCAAAAGCACACAATCTGATCAAGGTCTCCCTCCCCTCAAAACCCTGCAGCGCACGCCCCCAGATGAAACCATCCACCTCCCCACACCCCAGCAGCCCGGTGGCCTGCCCGACCCCAGCGGGCCGTCTGCCTAGCTCCTCGTCCGCCCAGCCCTGCCAGCCCAGTGCCTGATCTCTTATGGCTCCTGAGCAGCACGGTGCTCTGATCTCCCAGTCTCACTGCTTGCTGTCGTCTAGAACGACCTTCTGGGTCTGCACAGCAGGTGCTGGGCGGGCCAGGCTCCTGGCTCAGGGTCACGGTTGTCCTGCTGGGTCCGGGGCTGGTGAGCGTGGCAACCAGCACTGGCTGTGTTGTACCAAGCGAGAGGATCACCCACGCGCGAGTCCAAGCCCAGGGAGCCAGGGCCCTGGCGATGTGTAGACATGGCCGGCACGACTGCACGAAGCAGGCTGTCGCTGGCATCTAGCTGGGCAAGGCTGGGGACACCGCCTAACACCTCGCGGTGCACAGGATGAGCCCGCCGTGGAGACGTTCCCAGGCACACTTGGCTTGGGGAAGCTCCTGGGTACTGGGTGGAGACCTGGGCTGGCTCAGGGTCTCAGGGGGCTGCTGTGGACAGGGTGGGGAGCAGGGGCTGCAGCTCAGCAGAGACCCAGGCCTATTCTGCCGATGCCTCTCCACTCACAACAGCCCTTTGAAAGGGAGGGCAGGGGCACAGACAGGAGGGGCGGCCTGTGCAGCTGCACGGCCAGGCAGACAGTGTGCATGTGTGCGAGCACCGACAGGCTCCCTCTGCCCCAGGACTACAGCGCAGCGCTGCGCGGCCTGTGTGACGATGCTCTGCAGGGCCTGCTCTTCCTGCTGCTCTTCTCCCTCCTGTCTGCTGGCGCCCTGGCCACCGCCCTCTGCAGCCTGCCCCGCGCCTGGGCCCTCTTCGCGCCCAGGTCAGCAGGGGAGAGAGGGCAGGGTCCAGGGGGAGGAGACAGGAGGCACCCCCTGGGGCCACTGCTGGGGAGGGCATGGCCTCCTGATGGGTCCCCATCCTGCTTCTCTGCCACTCCCACCACACCCCAGCGACGACTACGATGACACGGAGGATGATGACCCTTTCAACCCTCAGGTGTGGACCTGGGTCTGCCTGGGGAGGCTGGGCCTGGATCCTGCCTCTGAGGGAGGAGGCCAGGTCGGGACCCGGGTCTGAGGGAGGAGGGTCACAGGTCCTGAGTACAAGGCAGGTCCCACTTTTATCTCCTGTCCTGTGTCTCTCTGGCAGGAATCCAAGCGCTTTGTTCAGTGGCAGTCATCTATCTGAGCCCCTCCTCCCCGCCAGCCCGGAGCCCGTCTCCCCTTGGTGAGCTCCAGGTGACACCCTGGCCCTCCCCTCCCACACCCTCAGGCGCAGCCTTTGGGTGGGTGCATACTGGAGGCCCTCCAGCCCATCAGCACACTCTCTCCGCCTTCTCTGCAGTTCCTTTCCTGGCTGCCAGAGGAGACCCCACTAATCTTGCCTGACTGGGCTCTGACCACTAATACTCCTGGCCATGGACACCCCACACAGGACCGCCTTGTGCCCTGGCCCCAATGCCCTCCACCTCTCTTTAGCCCTGGAGGTTGCTGCAGGGGCAGAACAGGGACCACAGCTGGCAGGGGAGGGGCACAGAGCCAGCCCAAGCCCCTCGCTGCCAGTCTCATCCTGTTGGAACTGAGCTGGGGCAGGGACGTGTCTCTCTCCGCCCCATCACATTCCAGTGGTTCCAGCCCCAGATCTGAACTTGTGGCACTAACTTGGAAAAGAGCGGATGTAAAATAAAAGGGAAGTCTTTATTTTATGAGCCACTGGGTTCTTTTTTTCGCCCCTCCCTGGATTCTGCTCCTGAGGAGAGGCGGGGTGACCTCTTCTCTGGGGCTTGCGTGGCTGCACTGCTCCCATCCAGGCTCAGCGGCAGTGCCAGTCCCAGAGGGCAAACACACGCGCGACACCAGTGGCGAGGGATAAGCTAGAAACAGCTGAGTGTGAATGTGCACGCCCATGACAGGAGACCGACGACAGTAGCTCCTGTAAGCACTGCTGACTTAGAGCAGAGCTGCTGAATCAACTCACTCTGCATCTAAGAGAGGCTTCTGTACCAGACAGGTGAGATCTACATGTGTACCAGTAAAGGAACACAACAAGTATTTTGAGAAAGTTAGGAGGATATTTGTATGTTGCATATCCAGATGGTGGGTGGGGGGCACTTTAAGCAAGGTATCATAAAGCCAGGAAAGAAAAATTTACAGTCCGGTGAACAACATGTGTCTTTAACACATATGAGAAAGAAATATATTATTCTTAATACATAATCTACAATGTGCCCATAAATTAAAAGTAAGCAACTAAGATGAACACTCAATACAGCAAGAATCCCAGGGTCTGTACGTGGACCAGCGTTCAAACTCTGATTAGGAAACATTATGTGAAACAACCACAAACTACTTTTTTCCACTACTGAGATAAAATTTTCCACTACTGAGCTAAAATTAGAGGGCCACCGTGCTGGCCAGGAGCGCAGGAACAGGTATGCAATGCACTGCCACATCCTGGGAAAGAAACCTCGCCTGTACTGAGAAAAATTAAAGCTACTTCACTGCTCTTGGCAACTAATTTCCAGAAAGAGAAGCAGAGGCATCTAAATTTGTTGGCAACACTCTGATTGGCTAATCTGCTAGTCCAGTAAGAGAAGTCCAAGGAGTCGCTGCATACCCAACAGGTCTCTCAGAGAGCAGCCCTGGGCTGAGCTTGAGACTTTAAGAAGGAGCTGCTGAGGACAGAGAAACGAAGAGGGGTTACAAGGTCAAGGGCCTGGCTCACCTGGCTTGGCAGGGGAAACCCGTCAACCCTCACCCCTCTTTTAGACCTGGACATCACCTGACCTGTTGGCCTCAGCTGCATCATCAAGCAAATGAGTATCATTCAGTCAAGAAACTTACTCTGATGTAACGGGTAAAGGAAAGTAAATGAAGTTGCAGTGCTCCTGATTGGTCTCTGGCGAACAAAGAACATTAGTGGAAAATGTATCGAAAGGACACAGATGAGAGTGATATGAGGTGACAGATTCTGTTTTGACAAGCCATAATGACGTGAAATGCAGGAAGTATGCTTTGCTTAACTCCCTACTGGCTTTGCAACTTTTTTGGGTAGATCTAAAATTATCTAAAACAAAAAGTTCAATTATCAAAAGTTGTTTAAAGTACCTATGCTAGCCGGGCCGTGGTGGCGCATGCCTGTCATCCCAGCACTCAGGAGGCTGCGGCAGGAGGATCACTGCGAGTTCCAGGACAGCCTTGGCTACATAAAAAACTGCAGAGTGAGATCCTGTCTCAACAACAACAACAACAACAACAAAAACCAAACCTATACTTACCCTAACACGAGAAAAAGTAACCACGATGCTATTAGTTACCCACAGAGAACTTCCCAGTAGTAGTAGTAAGAAGGAAAACTTCCTCTTGAACACTGTTCGTCCACCTACCATGACTACAGTACCAGTCCCCGACCTGGACAATTTGTGGGTCTTGAATGAAAACAAACGGGCACACTCGGAAACACTGAGAGTCTTAAAGGAGGCCCATATGCAACGTGGTCCGGTCCTCGGCCTCGCTGCACGCCAGGACCCCCCACACCCCCGCCGCGCACACCGCCGCGCCCTGCCCACGCGTACTTCAGCCTCCACGGGTTTGAAGTCGCCCTTCCCCACGCCAGATGCGCAGTCCTAGCTTTCTCTCCTAGGAAAGCTCCCCTTCGAGTGAGGAGTCTTCACCCTTTGAGCTCCTTATTCTCTTCCCTGGCCTTACATTTCACGATGCTAGGGGTATTCCCACGGCTCTCACCACTCCAGCTCACACTTTATTGATAATGGCTGCCCAACGCTGGATCAAAACAAGAGTTCTTGAAAGGGCGGAAGGCCGGAGGAGCTGGGCGCGTTTGACCCTTCGGGCCACCGTCCCCGCCCCCGACTTCCGGCTTGTATTAAAATACCTCCCGCGTGATGGCGTAGAAGGGCGGGCTCAAGACAAGCGGGTAGTACCCATTGGCTGGTGAGGGAGAGGGCGGGGAGAAGTCTCCACATGACGTCACGACGTCGCGGTCAGGACGTAGAAGCGAAAGAAGACAGAAGCCTGCCGGGTAGCTGAGCGTTTTCGCAGTCGTAGCGCTACCGTCTTGGGTCGCTGCTGACGAGTCCTGAAAACGGACAGACCTGGTTTGTGTGGGGATTGGCGGGCGGGGATGGCCTCTCTATTCGGCCCCTCGCCCAAGAGCCAGAGGCCTCTTCGGCCGTCGTTCCAACAGACGCCGCGCGGCAGTCCATAGGGTGTGGCGGCCGGGCGGCCACTGCGCCTGCGCGCCGATAGTGCGCGTGCCCGACTCCAGCGCACGCGTGCGCCGTCGTTTCTACCCTGCCCCTCGGAATTCGGTGGCGCGTTTCGCTTGCCTCCCCCAAGCCCCATTGAGTTGCGGTTCGGCGGGCGGTCGCGTTGCCCTGGCGACGGCGGCCAGGCGCAGCGTCCGCCTTCCCCTTTCTCGGGCCTGCGGGTTGTTAGGTGCTTACCCGATCGTTGACCTCTTGCCTGGTTCCTGTCGTCGTCTTGCCCTGGGGCTCCTCGGGTCCCCCAACTCAAGGCTCCTTTCCTCCACTCAGATTCTGCGCCCTTTTTGATGTCTTTGTTTTTTCTAGAGCTTTCCCCAGTTAAGGTTCCTGTTCCGTCCCATCAGCCTCCTGTGCATTTCCGGGTTCTCCAGCAGTATTCATTCCTGTTTCTCGGCTAGCCCTTTCAGGAGTGGCGGCCTCTCAGCCCTAACCCTCAGGAAGGCCTTTTTCTTTCGGTACTCTATCCTACCCTTAATAATTTCTTAAAGGTATTGTGGGCCCCCTGAGGTGTCCTCAAAGTTTTGTCACCAAAGGGATAGCCTCCTTGTTCTCCCAGGCCTGCTCCTCCTTTTAGGAACCTCCAGAACAAGGCTGTTCTCTGCCCTTAGAGTAGTGTTTTGAAATAAGTCTTTGCTTTCTGAGAGCTTATTTCTTCAAATAGACTTTCTCTCGTAAGCACCTGAACTTACGCCTCTTCTCAGAGGAACTTCTAGAAACCCATCTATCAGATTGTCCTGCATTCACCGGTGTTCTCCCGGTTCCACCTTCACAGTGCTCCAAAAGTGGCTTCCTTTTTCCCAGGCTTCTCAGCTTTAAGGGTCCTTGGAGACCCTGCTCACTGGAGCATCTCCTCCTGCTGCCTCTCAAATCCCTCTTGTCTGGAGTTATTTGTAGACCCTCTGTCCTAGAGGCCCCTCCCACTTGCCTCTCACTCTCTTTCCTCTTGTGGATTTCAGACGTTTTTCTTTTTTTGGGAAGCCCTTCAAGCCTCTGGGTTTTCAAACCCTTGATTTTCCACCTGCCGCACTGCAGAAGGCCCGTGTTATGTATTCATATGCCAGCCCCTTAATTCCACACCCAGAGTTCTCTTCGAGACTTTACCCCTTTGGCTCTGATCTCAAAAGTCCCAGAACCTCAAACGCTGCTTTTCATGTGGCTTCTCACGAGTCCACTTGCTTTTCTCCTCTTCATGTTCCATGCTCCTTGAGTTTCCCTGACTCATTATTTTTCTCACAGACAGTGAAAAAGCAGTCTGGCTCCCTGGATCCACCCTCTCCACCCCAGGGTCCAGATGGCCGCCAACGTGGGTGACCAGCGTAGCACAGATTGGTTAGTGGGGCTTGAGGGACAGAGGCCGGGGGTGGGGTGGGTGGTGGGAGGTGGGAAAAGAGCGAAATCCGATGACTCAGTGCTGTCCTTGGGGAGGGCCTCACACAGCCTGGGGGAGGAGGTGCAGCAGTCCCTCCCACCTAAGCACAAAAGGAGGGAGATATTTGTAGTGTGGAGAGGGGTTAAGTTTTTCTCTGAGCTTTCCTGTATAGGGTTCACCTTAGAACTATGGTGATTTCTTTCAAGCAGCTGTAACTAGTAAGCAGCTTCCTGCACTTACTAATCAGTCTTAACTATTTTTGTACAGTGTGGTGACTATTGGTGGTGGCATACAGTTCACTGATTCTTAAACCACTGAAGCCTGCTAGTTGCTAGATCCCATTTTAAATTATGACATCAACCACCCTTCAGTTTGTTTACTGCCTTCTTTAGGCCAGGCGCCAGGATAGGTCCTGTAAGTAGGCAGCCTTCTTGTCTCTCATGGAGAGCTCTGGGCTTTTCGAAACACAGTATAATTAGAAAACAGGTTCAGATGAGTTGGGAGCTTAAATCTGAGATATAAGGCCTGGTATCTGTTTCCTACCACATTTCCACAGACTGACTTGATGTCCTCTCTGCAGGTCTTCTCAGTACAGCATGGTGGCTGGGACTGGCAGAGAGAATGGCATGGAGACCCCCATGCATGAGAACCCTGAGTGGGAGAAAGCCCGTCAGGCTCTGGCCAGCATCAGCAAAGCAGGAGCTGCTGGCAGCTCAAAGACCAGCAGCAATGGGCCTGTGGCCAGTGCACAAGTGAGGAGGCCACAAGGGCATGGGAACCCTGGGTGAGGTTGCTAGGGGAGGGACTCGGCTTGGTGCTTCTCACTGGGATGGAGTGCTCTGACGGTAGTGTTTAAAAGATGCTTTTTGATATGTAAGTCTGATAGAGGGTGGGGTCCTATTACTTGAGACAGCCTGGGTATGGTATGGTCCTGAAGAGAGAGGCTGGATCCCTTGTCCCTTGGGTGCCTGAGTGTGGGGGTCAGGTCAGTTCCCTCCCTCAGCAGCTACCCCAGTGGAGCAACCTGCCTTCTGGGGGCCATGGTGCCAACAGCCTGGGGCCTCTGTTTCCACAGTATGTGTCTCAGGCAGAAGCCTCAGCTCTGCAGCAGCAGCAGTACTACCAGTGGTATCAGCAGTACAACTACGCCTATCCCTACAGCTACTACTATCCCATGGTGAGTGCCCAGCTGGAGAGAAGGGGCCTCCTCAGTCAGAGTGGGCCAGGGGAGCCAGGCTGTTCAGAAACCTCCACTAGCTTGTAGCCCTTGAAGTCAGTCCCAGGGTCCAGCTGGGGCCCCGACAGCCTCCATGTCTGGTTCTTGCCCCACCCCCTGTCATGCCCAGTTTGTCATTCCTGTGAGACTGTGACATCAGCACACGCCATGTCCACTCGTGCTTGGCTCTGCTGCAGCTGTCTCTGTCCCCTTATGCCCACCTTGGGGTCTTTGCTCAGATAGTGCCTTCAGGGGCCCTCTCCTGACTGAATCCTTCCTGAGAGCAGCATCCTCGGCTCTTCTTTTCCTTTGCCTTTTTTCTCTCATGATACTTACTGCAGGGCATGTGTGTTTGTGCCTACATCTGTGTGTGTGTATCTTCAGTGCAAGCTTTGTTAAAACTTGATTTTGCCTTTTATTTCATTACCATAGAGCTTAGAATTAGCCTTTGGTGAGTGTTTACTGAATAGAGCCCTCGGAGAGTTAGTGTAAGTAGGGTGGGAGTGGACAGAGGTGCTTCCTTTTCGTTAACATAAGAGGATTTGTTGTCTCTGTACAGTGGAGAGCAAAGGGCCAGGGTTGTATATGGTTCTGAGTAGGCAGAGGGAGCAGGGAGGGCCTGCCACTAACCCCTCCCTCTGACTTTGGCAGAGCATGTACCAGAGCTATGGCTCCCCGTCCCAGTACGGGATGGCTGGCTCTTATGGCTCAGCCACCCCCCAGCAGCCTTCAGCACCCCAGCACCAAGGGACTCTGAACCAGGTAACTCTGTGCCCGGCTGGCTCCCAGTCAGGCTTGAGCAGGGGACATAGATTTTGGGGAGGCTAGCGGTGGGGAGTTGCTTGCATTATTTAAGCTATTTTCACCACCCCCATTTTCCCTTTCAAGCAGCTTTTGATCTAACAGTGAGGAGGGCAAAGCGTAGTTTTTGAAAGTAGGATGGGCTTGGGCAAGGCCAGTTGCAGTGTTTTGTGACATGGCAGTCTGTCTTTTTCTCCAGCACATGCACATGCGTGCGCAGTCTGGCTTTGCATTTAAGTGCACTTGAAGGGATATGGGGCCCGGGGCTCAGGAGGCTGATAGACCAGGGCTGAATTCCAGCCCCTTCACCCCCAGTACTGTCCGATAAGCCTTGTGACCACCTGTTCATCTCAGGCAACTCTCCGTGTGAGGTGGTGACCCAAGCGGGGTTTCTAGGGTGCTCCTAGTCACGTGTGCTCAGAGGGCACCACTGCAGGATGTGCTGTCAGTGCAGTCACTGTGATGCTGTGACTGCCATATCGTACCTGAGGTGTGAAAAGTCGCTGCTCTCCCTGAGCCTGAGGCCTCTCAGCTGTGGAAAGGGTTGTACAGTATGGGGCCTGGGAGGATGTGACTGGGAGAGTGGAAGGTTTGCAGATCTGAGTGCTGAGGAACGTAGTCAGGCAAGCACTGGAACCATCTCCTCGCTCAGACCTGCTTCCCCTGCAGCCCCCAGTCCCTGGCATGGACGAGAGCATGGCCTACCAGGCCTCACCACAGCAGCTGCCCGCGGCCCAGCCCCCCCAGCCTTCAAACCCCCCCCATGGGGCCCATGCTCTGAGCAGTGGCCCTCAGCCTGGAACAGCCCCTGCCACACAGCACAGCCAGACAGGGCCCCCTGCGGGCCAGGCCTATGGACCACATGCCTACCCCGAGCCCACCAAGCCCAAGAAGGGCCAGCAGCTGTGGAACCGCATGAAGCGTAAGTCGCAAAGCCTCGTGAGGCCCAGGGGTCGGGGGGCGGGACCTCGGAGCTCCTGGGTGGGGATGCCACAGGGTGTGTGGGGTGGGCTGCTGGGGTGCTCTCCTTGGGGTCCAAGTCCCTGACCTCTCGGCCTTGGTGCTGTCGTCCTGCTTTCTGGGGCGCCCAAGGTGAGTCTGGGAAGGGCCTGACCTCAGCCCTGTGTGTCCTCACAGCAGCCCCTGGGACCGGGGGTCTCAAGTTCAATATTCAGAAGCGACCCTTTGCTGTCACCAACCAGAGCTTTGGCTCCAGCGCGGAGGGCCAGCACAGCAGCTTTGGTCCCCAGCCCAACCCAGAGAAAGCCCAGAACCACAGGTGTGGTCGCCTGCCGTGCCTGCCTGCACCCTGCACAGTGGTCCCGGGAGGTCCCCGCTGGGGTTGGGGTCCTCGTGGCTCAGGCCTGTGTCTGCCCCCACAGCGGGCCTTCGCCCCGGGGAAACCTGTCTGGGAAACCTGACGATTGGCCGCAGGACATGAAGGAGTACGTGGAGCGCTGCTTCACAGCCTGTGAGTCAGAGGAGGATAAGGACCGGACAGAGAAGCTGCTCAAGGAGGTGCTGCCGGCTCGGGCGCGGGGGGGCA